TCCAACCGACAAGCATTGTAAGGGACGCCATGGCCTTCCCGTTTCGTCGGATCTCTTCGACCACCAATCACACTAACAGAGTCCTCTAGATGCCAATACTAAGTATCGAATTCAATCAATTGCAGCCAGTCGTCCACCATGTTCCAAAGACGGAGCGTGAACCAACATTTGTAGAAGAGGTGCGGACCGGATTCTTGGACTTGCTTGCAGAGTGGGCAAAGGTCGCAGTTAGGCAATCCTCCCTTGGCCAGTTGGTCGGCGGTCCAAATACGGTCTTGGTTAGCCAACCAAGAGAAGAACTTGACTTTGGGAGGGGCCCAAGCTTTCCATATCATGTGATCCATTGGAGAGAGGCGGAGGCTGTGGAGTAGTGCCCATTGTTTGCGTATTTCCACAAAATATTGTCTTCAACATGCTCATCAAGGTGGAAGCCTTGAATGGTCGCCCAGAGGGCCACAAATTGGTGGATGTGGTCCATGGTGAAGTTGGCCGAAACTTTGACTTTGGCAACCCAAGGCCCATTGTTGAGCGCCTCTCTTACCTTTCAATTTTTTGGCAATGAAGCCTTGAAAATGAGTGGAGCTATCTCCTTGGGCTTCCGGTTGTTAATCCATGAAGCCTGTCAGAAGGAGATTCTTGCTCCATTCCCTACGGTGATGGTGGTGGATGTGTAGAAGAGATTGAGGTCATGTTCATCGCAGGGGTTGCCCATGCCAACCCACAGTTTGGAAGGCTCTTTCCATTTAAACCATGGACATTTGAGTCTCAAAGCTCACGCAAACTTGTCTGTGTTGAGCACCCCAAGGCCTCCACACTCGTACGCACTACATACCAGTTCCCATTTTACTCTGCATTTCACTCCTGTTATCTTGTCCGAGCCAACCCAAAGGAAAGCTCTCGAAAATTTGTTGGTCCTGTGTAGGGTGCTCGAGGGAACGATGAGAGGCATAATGTAGTATGACACTTGGGAGGAGAGGACTGGTTTTACAAGGGCGGTGGGTCCAATGGCAGTGATGTTGCCACCATCCCAAGGAGTGAGCTTAGCTGCCACCTTGTCCTCCAAGAATTGAAAGTCCACTTTTTTCAGTTGCCATATCGAGATAGAGAGCCCCATGTATCTCATTGGGAAGGAGGATCTTTTGGTCGGCAGGTTATGAAGGATGGGTGTCAAGTTTATGTTGCCGCATCTGATGGGTACGGCTGAACTCTTCTGAAAGTTGGTTGCAAGGCCTGTGACCTTGCCAAAGCAGTGTAAAATCTGAGATAGCCGGTCAATGTCCCTCTTGATGGGCGCCATGAAAACCGCCGCGTCATCCGCATAGAGAGAGGCGAGGAAACCTCTTTTCTGCAAAAGGTCGATGATGTATTCCCATTTGATCGAATCTATAGCTTTGCAGATGTCCAGCTTGAAAAGGAGTGATGGGGTTTTTGCTCTTTTGAAGCCTCCGAGCAAGGTTTCTGATGTACATGAAGTTGTTGTGGATGCACCTTCTCTTGATGAATGCACTTTGCGCGTTCGAGGCAAGGGCGTTCATGTGATGGTGCAGTCTGTTCGCTAGGACTTCTGCAATGATCTTTGCAATGATGTGGATGAGGCTAATTGACCTATAATCCGGTATCCCCTCCGCGCCCTCCTTCTTGGCAAAAGTACCACATTGGCCAAATTAAGCCAATGAAGGTTGGCACTATGTGGATCCTCAAACAGACGGACCACTGCCATCATCTCCCCCTTCATCATTTGTCAACAAATTCTGAAGAAAAGCCCGGTGAAACCCTGGGGCCTTGTCAGTGAGCATGTCATTGATCACCGTTTTAAGCTCCTCCTCAGAGATGGGGTCCTCATGATCTGACAGGACATGAGTCTCCATGTTGAGCTCGCCCCAGTTTAGGTCAAGGGACCTTAGTTCCCTCTCCCCAAAACCTCACTGAAATGATAACAAATGAGCTCCTCTTTTTTCTCATGTTTGGTGATCCACCCATGGTTGTGTTCGTGTATGTGATTTTGCGTCTTCGCGCATCAACCTTCCGGTGGAAGTATTTGGTGTTTGCATCACCCTCCTTCAGATTGGTCATTTTAGCACATTGATGCTTTCAAGCTCTCCCGATGACTAATAAGGAGATGACCCTCCTTTTTAACCTCTTGCAGAGGTCCATTTCTTTCAAGGATAATGCTCTGCTTTCCTGGGCTATGTCTAGGTGGAGGATGACCAGCGGAGCGCCATGAAGATGGACTTTTGATTTGAAAAAAGGTGTCCTACTCCACTCAGTGAGCCTGGTGCCCATTTTTTCAGATTGTGGTGTAGCACCTGGCAAGACTCAGAGTGTGAAGTTAGCTTCGCCCATGCCTTTTGAACCATGTCAGTGAGGCCCGGCATCGTGGTCCAAAAATTCTCAAACTTGAAGGAGCGAGGTCTCTGAGGGCCCTTGTCATCCGCGAGCAGGAGAGGACAATGGTGCGAAAGGGACAAAGAAAGTGGATGGAGGATGTGAGTGTTGAAGTGCATGTCCCAATCGGCGTTGCGGAATAAAGAGTTCAGTTTGTTCATCATAGTATTGGTCCTTTCGTTGCTCCAAGTGAATCACCGGTTCCGGAGGTGTATTTCTTTGAGATCACGACTGTGAATAGTGGCACACAAATGATTTATGCAGCTTCAGTTGACAGTTCTCTTGTTCTTATCTTGAGCGCATCACTCCGTCGATATTTGTCTTTGAAAAAAAATTTGGCTTCTAGGAAGGGCAAGAGTTTGTGTCACAACTTTTGATGAACAGCCAGTCATGAAAAAAAAACTAACCATGTAGTTTTCCTCGGCATCACAATGATTAGCTTATTGCCGCGGCGTCACAACCTCTAGGAAACTAACCATGTAGATGTTGAAAGTGTAAATGACGTTCAATTGCGACAAACTAGCCACTTAAGTGTTAAAAGTGTAAACTATACGTTCAATTGCAACATACTAACAACATAAGTGTTAAAAGTGTAAACGACGTTCATTTGCAACAAACTAACCCTTAAAGTATTAAAATTGTAAACGATTGTCAATTGCAAGAAACTAAACATAAATATGGAAAATGTAAACCATGTTAAATTGCAAGAACTAACCACATAAATGTTCAAGTGTAAATGATGCTAAACTGCAATAAGTTAACCACAAAAATGTTAAAATCGCAAAGGATGCTAAACTGCAAGAAACTAACCATGGCAAATACACATGGGCTAGGAGCTATGCATATAATGAAGAGAACACATAGATCTACTAGGGTTCTGGTCCAGGCGCAGAGCTAGCACAAGACCTGGTCTGGCGAACTGGTCACCTCAGTCTTGCCCGGTCTAAATTCATTGTAGGGCTACACACCCGAATCATGATTTTTAGTTCTAGAAATGTCATGTCGCGTTCTAGAAAAGTAGTAGGTTGATGCTAACATGTAGATTGCTGGCATCAAGTCCGCATCCCATCGCATGCTGACATGCTCAACCCGCAGACCATCTCTGAGGCAGGCTTTGGGTTGATCGTCTTGTTAATGGCCAACGTTCGCATTTGTTGGTGGCATCATGGCCGGCATTCTTAAGGTTTGGCCATGTGGGCTAATGCAGAGGCAGCGTTGTGTGGTGCTCATCAAAGTTGGTTAACTTGAGTAGCCTCGAAGGATTCTTGGGAATTCGCATGGCTCGAATCAAGGTGTTGTATTCGGCAGAGCAACAAACTTTGGGATTATGACAAAGCAACAAACGGTGGGGTCCAATAGGCTAATATTTGGGATTGCGACGGAGCGACAGTGGGGGTCTGATAGGCGCTATGGAAACATATGCGGTTACAAACTTTTGTGAAAACATATGCCCATTTGAAATTTGTGAAAAAGAAAGGTATGTACTTATAGTTGCTAGCCTTTCATTCCGTTTATATGTGTATAGAACACAAACAAACATGATTTTCTCAGGAAATGGCAAGTACACACGTCATTCAGCAATCTATGTCTGGATTTGCATTTTGCATCATCACGATGAGAAGCCATAGTCATAAGCACATGCACGGTCAAAAAAAATCCAATGGAACATGATGGACTATGGTGGCCCACCTCAGTTGAGTTGACACTGTCGTAGGTATCAAGCGTAAGTATTATAGCAAATAGATGCTGTGATGTGTGTTGAAGTAGGGAGACCCAACAGCCAAAAAACCACCTCTCGGAATGAGCATCGAACCAGGTCACAGACAAGTAGTGGAGCGGTGAGGGGCAATGATCTTAGATGTCAGGATTTGGGATTTCAGCATAAGAGAGACAAAGCAGCAGAGAGAATGTGACATGGGCTCTTTCTTGTTCTATTTCGAGATCCGCATGTATATTTATTAAGGAGAAAGTTTACGACACGAAAGAATATGCATGTGGTCCATATAACACCAGAGAAGGCAGAGAGATGGAGACATGGGGTTTTGCTATTTTGTCCAGTGGAGATGCACCACCACACACATGAGCGAACACAGACAGGTTTGAATATGAATATACATCTGTAATTTCTTATGCGGTATTTTTCTTGCAGCTGTAGTTTTCTTGTAATTTTCTGCACTACTATGCCAAAAACATTGACGATGACGCACACAAACACCCAAAAAGTAAGATATGCCACTGCTGTTGAATTTTGTTCATCATATACAGGAGAACGCATCTAATACATGGGAAATGCATGCTCTCCTCAGAAACCATCTTTCTTCTACAACATACAGACACCATCGTATATTCAAGTCATATTTGAAATTGCTTGTGCTTGCTAAGGCGACTATCTACGTGTACAGCTGTGTAGGAGGAACTTCAATGTAACTCTTCCTAGCTGATACCTAATAAGCACACAATTTCTAGGAAGGCCACAGGTCCCATTGACAGTTTGGCAGCCCGTAGCTCAGCGGTCGGTTGATCCACACCTCCATGCTAGCTTTGAATTGAAGTGAGGCAAACTGGGATGTTGTTGCATTCTGTTTTCTTGATTGCTCCGTATGAGCTGCTTTGGTTCAAGAGGAGGTTGGTCGAGCCAGCTCCCTGTAATCTTTACGTATACTCCACAGGATCTCTGCGCACCGCCTCATGCTCGGCCGGTTCCTCTTCTTGGGAGCTAAGCATTGCAAGGCCAGCTCGTACATCTTCTCGATCGCCAGGTTGGTCGCGTCGTTCACTTCCAGATTCGGATCCAGTGTTAGTATCGCATCGCCCTTCGAGAATTTTTCCATTGCCTGTGCCCACCATAAATGGAGCACACTTATAATTAGCAAAACCAGATATATGGACAAGTCGTCGATCTTTATGAACTACTCCCTCTGTCCCAGAATATAAGAACATTTTTGACATTATGCTAGTGTCAAAAACGTTCTTATATTCTGGGACAGAGGGAGTATTGTACATATTTCATTTCATATTGACCATTAAAGGTACAAAGATAATGATAAGAATGGCACAAACTAACCCATTTTGCTGTGACACGTTCGACGATCGCCCTCTTTGGTTCGATCGGGCGCCTCCCAGTAACCAACTCCACTAGCAGCACTCCGAAGGAGTAGACATCACTCTTCTCAGTGAGCTGGTATGTTCTGAGATACTCTGGGTCAAGGTACCCTGCTGTTCCTTTGACTTGAGTAGAGACATGGGTGGCGTCAGTCGGAGCCAGTTTCGCAAATCCAAAGTCAGCGACCTTAGCTCGGCAGTTGTTTGTGAGAAGAATGTTTGAGGATTTGATGTCCCTGTGGATGACCGGCTGATCTGCATCGGTGAAATATATGGGTCAGAGTCTAACTGATTTGGTGGTTCTTCACAGGTCGTATATGTTTGTTTTTGGGGCATCTGCACGTCAGGCCCTAATACTGCAAGAAGTCATGGTTTTTCCCTTTTTGAATTGAGATATTTGACATAAAACCTCTGTGGTCATCTCCTATCACCAGTAATAGTTTTGGTCTAAATTTGGTTCGGAGAGTTGAATCTCAGTTTAAATAGAGGCTTTAATTCCTATTGGTACTAGGAAAATATCCTAGGCACTGGTTGTTGTGATGCAGCTATATCTTCCTTGTGAAGTTAAGCAAAAGCAGACCAAGTGCTCTGTTTTCTACTAAAGGATTCTGCAGCGTCATCATATCTGAACTAAATCAAGTTAGTGCTAGATTAAATTCTTAATGACCTTGCTTTAACTTCTTCTCGGGGTATCATTTCTGATCCAAACAAGTATTGGCCACCCAGTGTCCCAATATCATTTGCAAACCTTTCAGATGCAAGAACAAAACAACCAAAATAGGAAAAAAAATCCAAATAACCTGACAAACATGAAACCAAAATGCAAAGAAACATTAATAATTACTCTGCATTACCAGAGTAGGTGTGAAGATAGGTGATAGCGTGGGCCACATCGATCGCGATTTCCAACCTCACAGAGAACTCCAGGACTTTTCCATTCAGACCTGCACACGTCTAAACTCGGTAAGACGATAGAATTAGCAAAAACCATGGCACTTGTCATCCCCATAGGAGGAAAGGGCAGGATCCTATGATTGTTACCTTCAAGGTGCTCTCGAAGATTGCCATTGGGAACATACTCCACAATGATCAACTGCTCACCACCAAACTCAAGGAACCCATGGAACCGTACCAGATTCAGGTGCTCGATGCATCGCAGCGTCTCTATCTCGTTCCGGAACTCGTGGCCCATGTGCTTGTCATACATATTCTGGAACGAAAAGAAAACGAACATAGACATGTTATGCAACTGTCGCCAGGTTTTGAGAACTGATCGTATGTATAAGAAGTAAATGGTGCAAACCTTCTTGGCCCGTTTGACGGCGACGAGGGTGCCATCGCTGAGCTGACCCTTGTACACTGTCCCAGAACCACCCTGCCCAATCTTGAGGTTGGGCGAGAAGTTCTTCGTTGCTTTCTGAATCTCTGGTAAGGTGAACTTTCTGTCTCCAGGTATCTCCCTTTCTGAAGAATTCCTGAGGGTGGAGCCATACAGCCCTCTGGCTGATCTCCTGCTCTCGAAAGTGCTCCCGCTGGTAGAACCTTGAGAGCTCAGCGACTGCGAGTCTGCAGATTCATTCATAGGAAAGAACCGTCACATCTCAAGTTTACAGAGAGCCTAACGATGGTTCTTGTAAGCAAAGTGTTATTTGCATAGTGTCATGAATTTAACAGTATCCATTAATTCCAGGATGCATATATCGTAACGAATGTGAGTGGCACGCAGGAGGCTATCCTTGAAAGAGGGAAGGAATTCGCTAATGGTACTTTACGATGGGGTTTGCTTACTCTGTGAGTCGGAGAAAGAATTAGCAAATGATACGAACACTTTGAGCAAGATGGGTTCCGGTCATGATCAAATCACGACAAATCAAATGGAACAAGTGGAAAATAATACGTACTACTCTCTTTGTTCACAAATATAAGATACTTTAATATTTCAATATGGACTAAGTAGGGACCGAAATGAGTGAACACACGCTAAAACGTATCTATATACACCCGATTCACAAAAAAGTTAATCAGAGAGAGTAGTAATTAGAAAAGTACTCCATCTATCCGGAAATACTTGTTCTATAAATGATTGAAAAGTATTTTCGGACGGAGGAAGTACAACCTGATGGTGATGGAGAGTGTGTTGTAGACATCTGATTAAACTAAGGCTCAAGAGGAGAATGCTGCATCTTGTGCTGTTATTGCCGTACACATCAGTACACAAAACAGTGCACCTGCAAAGATCCGATCCTAGAAAGACGTAGTACGTACAACCGAGTTATAAAAAGCAAAGCTGAAGTACAATCGTACGCGTTGACCAGGCACGGTTGACAAATAACATGTCACAATTAGAAGACGAAGAAGAAGAGAAAAATGGCATCGTGGGATCAGAAGGGCAGAGAGGCCACCGGAGAAGAGGTCGAGGGAAGGCGCGTGCGCACGTACGTTGGTGGGAGGCGTCGGAGTCGACGTCGGAGAGGGAGGTCTCCGGCGAGCGCGCGTCCCCGGGGGCGAAGCAGGAGCGGAAGGCGTCGAGGAAGGCGGCGGCCCCGCGGCCGCTGCTGCCGGACGAACGCTCGGACGAGGCCGTGGTGGTGGCGACCGAGTAGCGGGAGAGGTCGTCGCTGGCGCTGGCGCTGGCGCCGGCGCAGATGAGGTCGCTCATCGGCCTCCTCCTGGGCGCCGAGCCGGCGTTGCTGCTGCTGCTACCGCTCCTCATCGAGGTGGCGTGGCGAGGCGGCAGCCGCGGAGAGGAGAGGGGAGGAGCGGGACGACGCGCTCGCTCGCTACTGCCGCGGAAAGCGGCGGCTTTGATGGACGAGGATTGATTAGTTGGGCGCGTCAAGGTGGACTAATTCAGGACTTGCGAGGGAGAGAAGACCCGTAGACGTGGACCACGGCTGCATGTAGGACTAGTCCCCCGCTAGAAAGGGTTTTTTTTTTCTAAAGAGAATCTCAACAAGTCGATTGCATCCATGCGAAAACCGGGCCAAAAACCAAACAAATAACAAGGATAAAAGAAGAAGAGACAAAGAAATGGGTACCCATGACAAAGCACGGCGTAGCTAGCAGACAAAACAAACTCCATCATGAATGGCGCAAATAGATCACGGGTGTCGTCGAAAGATCACAATACCAAGACTTTGCAAACAGACGATGGCACCGGCGTGCGTATCCGAACCCCAAGGTGCAACACAGGAGTATCCATAGTCGACGAGTGTCATAGCATGACCATATGCTCCAGCCTCCAGAACAATTGGAGCAATGCAAGTCAGGAGAGCAGCGATGAACACGAACCTTGAATGGGAACTCCGCCACGGGAAATCAAAACTATTAGCAAATCCGGGAGGCATCTTGTGCCATCATTGAGAAAAAGATGAACAGAGTCAACACCAAGAGCACGAAGCTTGTCATCTTGAGCAAGCATCAGCAGGGACTAGACAACACACAATAGGTAGGGTGGATGGATGACGGCAAAGGGCTCCGAGATGACGCCTTCAAGAAGGTAAATGATGTCCATGGACAACGTCGTCAATGAAATATCGTCCGGAGCCCATACCGAGTGGATCAGGTACAACTCAAGGACCATGCCCCTAGGAAGATAAGCAACGCGAGATTGGAGTTGTCGTGACCGTCTAACGCCGGAATCAACGAGGATTTCTCCCGGAGCAAGTACCAGATGCAGGCCTGCGTCGAGGCACCAGGTTAGAGCAGCCACAGAGGTTGCAGATGATGACCGGCGAGCTGCCATCCAATGGGAGTCGACGAGATGGTGGACGTGTGTCGATGGAGGGAGCATGGCAAGAGGAGGCGAGGGGTGACCAGAGGTGCTTGTCGAGGCAGTGATGTACATGGAGACGGTAGGTGGAGAGCCGAGGCGTGGATAACCGCCGAGAACGAGGCTCCCGGGAGGAGATCCAACATTGAGCTGAATACGACGAGATCCTAGTGAAGTTGCGTTGTCGGAGAGCCATAACCCTACGGTAGATGGTAGGAGGGGTTGGCGACCACATGGAGGACCCGTGGGTGCGGAGGAGGTCGTCGTGGGTGTGGGCTTGTTAAGTGACTAGATGCCTGGTTTGGTCGGTTCGCTTCGCTTCGGTGCAAGTAAATCAAGAGAAAAATCAAAAGCGAATCGCCTACATGGCACATGCAGTAGAAAAAACAAGAAAACACCTAAAAACAAGGAAAATAAATGGGGTAACTTATGACACAAATTTGTTTAAACAGTTTTTTTAAAGGGGGCTACACCGGCCTTTGCATCAAGCGATGCACACACCCTTCCCTCAAAAAGTGATGCACACACCCACTTGATTAAACTGGGTAAAGTGTAAAAAAACTGCTAAATGAGGTGAACGATGTCACAAATGTGAAATTAAAGGGTAAAAAATGGAATTCACTGCGATAGTAGAGACGAAAGTGATTGGCCGGAAAAACTAATTTACAGCACATATATGACTAGTGATGGGGAACCTAAAATCGTGCTAGAGGTGCAGCATGGGTCACCGGTCGTGGATGAGCTAGCGGGACAAGCTAGCGTTGCCGTGTGGAGCAGGAAACGTAGGTACTACGTGTGGAGTGGAGCCAAAGCGAGTCGGTCGGTCAGTCAGCCCAATTTGGTTGGAACTTGGAAGTCGACGGTGTGCCGGCACCTAGTATTAGTGGCGGAAGTACTGTAGAAGAAAGCGTGACTTGAGAGCTTGGACACCGCATGCAGCGACCGGTCAACAGTCAGCAGCAGGCTGGGCTCTGGCTGGTAGGCAATGTTGCCCGCTGGCTGCAGTGCGGTTGTGCGTGAGTTAGAGCATCTGCGGCCGAACGTCTCAAACCATCTTTCATACATTTGTGGACGCGTCCGATCAGAAAAGAAAAAAAAACGTGATCTCATATATATCATCCTTATACATTCTGACTATCCGCAAACTTTGATATCCATATCAAATATGAAAAGGATATGAAGGCTCGCGGACGCGCCTGGCCGGCCGATGGCGTGCGCACAAGGCGCAGGTAAAGTCGTGCCGGCGCCGCGTGCTCCTGACGTAAACGTAGCTACAGATCGATCGCCTATTCGCCTTTGGTTTGGTCTGGTTTGGAGCTGGGAGTTGGAGCTACACGGACGGACGGAAGCACGGAGCGAAGCATGCGTCCATCCGCACTTGACCCTGTTGCACGAGGTTGCAACTTGCAAAGCACGCGGCCGGCCGGCCGGGCGGTCGATGCATGCAGGCCTGGCCGGCGTACGGCAGGACGCACCGCGGCGCTAAAAAAGTCGTGGCGGAGCCGGGTGTTGTTGAATCAGTCGAAAAGAGATCCGACGTCTAGAAGACGTAAAGGGACAAGCCACCGACTTGCCTTCCAATCACTCCCCATTGTGAAGAACTAGGAGCGCCGCAGTCGCCGCCAAGGGCATCCAACCGCCAAGGGAACGTTGTGATGAAAGTGAGCTGCTGGTCGCACCCAAGGGCAATGTTCCCCTGCACAAGACATCACACAACCAACAACGAAGTAATGGCCACAAGACGACGGCCCCTATGAGGTACCGACTTCAATGGCCCCGTCGCCGTTCGATTGAAAGATGGTTCTAGGGCTATCACCCGAAGCACGTTGGAGGACAAGGTGTGGAAGCTTCACTATCACACTCCACAAAGAAAAAATGATGACCAAAGGCGACGCCGTCATCAACGTGGACAACCCAACACAAGGCCTTTGCTTGAAGTATCACAACCCTGACCTTGTGTTGCTACACCTACCACGAATCCGTCAAACGCATGAGTGCGGAACCCGCCAACCCTCCGACCACACCATTGCTTGCGAATTCATCAAATCCAGACTGAGGCGACCTTCACTGGTGGAAAAAGGGCCTTTGGTCGCGGTTCGCAACTGCCATTAGTCGCGGTTGCGCAACCGCGACCAGACGGGCGCGACTAAAGGCCCCCCCTTTAGTCGCGGTTGCTTAAGAACCGCGACTAAAGGCCCGTCCACGTGGGCGGAGGACCTTTAGTCGCGGTTCTTGTGGCTAACCGCGACTAAAGGCCGCCACAGGTTTTTGAAAAAAAAATTGAATTTTTTTTTCAAATTTCTGAATTATTTTAACCTCTAGTCTCTAATCACCACCCCTCATCACTTCTCAATTTATTCTTTTATCACCCCTCATCATTCCAAATCATCTAACTTCCCAACCGGTCACCCATCCCTCTCACTACTCCAGCCCAAGCACGCTTAACTTCCAGGTTCTATTCTCCCACGCTCCAAGTCTGCACTTGTTGTTTTCCTGACAATAATAAGATGTCAATCCTATTAACCTTCAGGAATTTTGCTTGAGCATGAATTGACACATTTCACTGTTTGAGTTTGAAACTATTGTTTTAAAAAACAATAATTATTTAGTAACACTAATATTTCTTGAATAATTAGTTTGACCATTGTTTGACCACAGTTTGACCACAGTTGACCACAGTTTGACCAGATTTGACCAAAATTGAAATAATTAAAATAATTATTTAGTAACACTAATATTCTAGAATAATTAGTTTGACCATAGTTTGCCCACTGTTTGAATATTTTTCAATTTTTTCCACTCTAGATCTTACAAGCCCCGTAACTTTTTTTCTATTAGGTTTTTGAGGATTTTGAAAATGTTTAACGGGGTTCCCTCTGTTAAATTTGGATGTAACTTTTCGAGTAGATGATTTTTCATATAAAAAACTTTTTCATCCGAGTTAGTATGCAAAAGTTATGCCCATTTTTACAAATTTCAGAGAGATTTTGCAAATAAAGTCAAAATTCACATTTGCAAATTTTCCCAACAACTAGACCACATATCACATGAGAAACTTATTTTCTTTTATTTTTTTGACATTTCCATTATTTTCTTTTATTTTTTTTAAAACTGAAAAGGCGATCCCGGGGGGGGGGGGGTAGAGTTTGAAAA